AAAAAAAGAAAGAAAAATACGCCTTTGGTAAATGGGGGGGCGGGGGGGAATTGTACTTTTTTGCCTCAGTTCCAAGTTGTTGTTGATTGCCTTCAAGGCGAGTACAACTTATAGTGACCTTATGAACAAAAGGCCTGAAGTCCATCTACAACCATCGCTTATCAAAGTTCACAGAGTTTCTGGAGGCATGTTGTTTAGGAAGTTGGTATCACTCCTGCTTCTAAACCTGTCATAGAATGTTATTGGTTGAGTCACCACCAACGCATAGCGACCCTCTGTACAGCTGCTCTGAATCTTTCCCTGTCCTGAGCCAGTCTCACTAATTCTGACATACCAATCCCCATCGTCCCAGTTACTGTATTAATCCATCTCAATCAGGGTCTCCCTCTCCTGCACAGTCCGTCTACCCTTCCGAGCCTGATGTCTGAATAAAGGTACTGTCTGAGCATCTGAGACTCTAGAATGTAAGTAACATCATTTACATTCAATCTTAACTTAGCTTTATCTATATTACTGAGGCTCTATAGTAGTAATAACAACAATCACTTAATAATTATTTCCTGAATGAACAGCCAAACCCAATTTCTCTAAATTCCTCAAATAGTTCTATTTCAGTAATGGGATTATCATTTTTCCAGGTTAAGTTCTCTCTTCCAAAGCCTTTGCTTGTCACTGGTTATTGTTAAGTGTTATCAGTTCAACTACAACTCAATGCAACCTTATGAACAACAAGAAGGAGCTAGCTGTGCCCTATTTCACCCTCATTATCTATCTCTATGTTCAATTCAACCAATGTTAAGTCATTTGCAACCGTTTCTTCCAGTTCCCACTGTAATAGTCAATTCAGATTTTCAATTCTTTTGCCTGCTTTTTTCCCCCTTCCCCTCACTGAAAATACCATGGGAGAACAAACAGGTTCCTCTGAGAGAGGGTGAAACCAGACTGCTCCTTGGAGGCAAGGATTCTGAAGCTTCATCTACCATATTCTGGACATGCTGACAAGAGGCACCAGTCCTTGGAGAGGTACATCATGCTTGGGAGGGTGGAGGGACAGTACAGAGAAGACGACTCTTAATGAGATAAACTGATTCAGTCACTGGGGTAATAGGAATAGGAATAGGTGTATCAGACACAATAAGGTTGACACAGGATAGGGCAGGGTTTAGGGCTGTTGTACATAGGGTTGCTATTGAGTTGCAGGCGACTTGATGGCACATAAGAACAACCATCCATCCTATATGTCATCAAATTAACATTTCTAAATATTTCTCAGGGATTTCTGGTAGCTTAGTGGTAATAAATTGTGCTGCCAACACAAATCTATAAGGTTTGAATCCACCTTTGGCTTCACAGGAGAAAGATGGGCAATCTCCTCCTGGGTGATTTATTGCCTCTAAAAACCCACTGTTGGGTCAGCTATGGGTTCATTCTGACTCGATGGTACAAAACAGTAGATGATATAAAATACACTGTCCAATATAAATGCCAGAAGCAATACAAAGCTGTTTAAATGAAAATTAAGTGAAATTTAAAATGGCAATCCTACACCTGCAGTTACCACGTTTCAAAAGCTCAAGAACAACAAGTGCCTAATGAGAAACTGTATTGTGGAAGTGTTGTTGTTGGGTGCCATGAAGTCAGATGCCCCTCCTAGAGGATCCTCCAGTGGGTTTTCAGAGGCTTTAAATCACACAGGAGATTGTTCATCCTTTCTCTATGGAGCAACTGTTGGACTCACTATGATGAGTACTGCACAGAAAAGTGAAAACAAGGAACATTTCCAGCATTGTGGAAAAGTTCTTTTGGACTGGGCTGGGCAGTTACTGCAGAAAGTTCACTGACATGGTGTACTTGAAAAATGAAGTCACCACAAGATAACAGTAAACAATACAATTGAAAAATGGGCATAGGATATGAACAGATACTTCACCAAAGACGACATTCAGATGGCCAACAAGCACATGAAGAAATGGTGAAAATCCCTAGCTCTAAGAGAGTTGCAAATCAAAACAACTATGAGATATCATCTCACTCCAGTAAGAAGAGCAAAATTTAACAAAACAGCAATCAACAAATGCTGGCAAGGTTGTGGAGAAACTGGGACCCTTATTCACGGTTGGTGGAAGTATAAAATGGTGCAACCACTGTGGAAGGCGGTTTCTCAAAAAGTTGCAAATAGAGATACCATGTGACCCAGCAATTCCACTACTGGGAACACACCCTAAAGAGAACATAACTGCCACCCAAGCAGATATATGTATGCCCATATTTATCGTGGCTTTCTTCATAATAGCAAGAAGTTGGAAACAACGTAAGTGCCCATCAACAAACGAATGGATAGAGAAGCTGTGGTATATTCACACAATGGAATACTATGCTGCATTGAAAAATAAGGAACTCAAACAATATTATTCAAAATGGGTGACCCTGGAGGACATTATGCTGAGTGAAATATCTCAGTAACAAAAGGCCAAATACTACATAGTGCCACAGTTGTAAAACAGGACTGACTTCAAGGTTGGGGGGGAGATTGAGAAAGATGGGATAAATTATGTATGCTGCATTGAAACATGAGGGAGAAAACTGTTGTAAAAGGGATAAGTGATTAGGTATTATTGTCATGACAGGAATCCAGAATGAAGGCTGCATAGTGGGGTGGACCTGGGGGGAGGGATTGTAAAACAATGAAAGAATTTTTCTTTTACTTTTCAAAGAGAAGAGTGTACTGAGGGGGGAGGGATGGGCAGGGAGAAAAGTGCAACAATGAATGAATGAAAATCCAGAGTTTCTGTAAATTTTCATTAAAATTAAAAATAATTTTAAAATTTTTTAAAAAAAGAGGAAGACTCAGAAAAAAAAAATTGAAGTAATGATACACAGTACCAAGTGGCTCTTCTTTTCATCTGTCAAATTTTCTAAAGTAACATCCTCAGAGCGTCTTACTCAGTTACTAAATGCTAATCTCACTTCCAAAGTTGCTAAGACCTGGAGTTTCCTCAGGCTGGGATACTGGTGGTCAACAAATGTTCATTCTCCCTTTTATACTCACATTATAATGTAAAAAATTACCTGTTTTATGAGTTTACAAAAGTGTCAGTCTTCTGGCCTGCCCAAAACTGCACTGCTATAAATCCTGAAAGTCAAATACAAAGAAAATAAAAGAATGTTGATTTTAAATACACACACACACACACACTTTCAAGTCCATGTACCTATATTCTCCAGTGCAAGATTACGAGGCTATAACTTTGTTCATTAATTATTCTTCTTTAAAGAGTTGATGCTTGTATTTTTTATGAAGATATTGTGCTATCTGGAACTGAACGATATTTTAATGCTAAGGTATCACATTCTCTATCTTTTCTCACATCTGACACCTTCTACTGATCTCAAAATGGAGAAAAGGAAGAATACTGGGTTTTCTACTATAGAAGAAGAGGCAAAAACAAGAGAAGGGGAATGGCAGTTTATTATTTAAAGTAAATTAAAACATTAACTAGCCTGTGTGATCCAATGGAAAGAACACAACCTGCCAAGATCACATTTATCTAACAGCAAAGTCAAGATTTACTACTTGCATTATTTTAAGAAAACTACTTAATTTCTCTGAACCATAGTAAAATAGGTATCTCAAAAGGTCTTCTTTAGAAATAGGATACTCAAATCAAACTCATTGCCATTGAGTCAGAACCAACTCATAGCTGACTCTCCAATGGTTTTCTGGGGCTATAAAGCACACAGGAGACTGTCCATCTTTCTCCCACAAAGCCAGTGATGGATTAGAACCTACAGAAAGCAGCCTCTGGGCCAGCAGTACAACTTCCCATGGACAACACCACCAGAGCTCCCTTGAGATTGCTGTTGTTAGATGTTGAGTTGCAACTAATTCACAGCTGACTCTTCAGCAGGTTTTCAGAGGCAGTAAATTACAAAGGAGAAGACTGCCCATCTTTCTCCTGTGCAGTAGTTGGTGGATTCAAACCTTGTGCCTTTGGGACGGCAGTATAGCTCCTTACCACTGGACCACCAGAACCTTTAAAATAGGATAAACACATAATAAATGGTAGTGACAATAAATGATTTGTCACTTTAGTACAGCTATAATTTTTCACAAGTATGAGGACTGAATCTATATGGTTGTGAAGATTACAGTTGTTGAAACTATTTAGACAAGCAGGGCTTAACTTGTTTACCATATTGCTAGAGAAAATCAGAAAATTTAAACTCATGAAGACTATATGTATTGTTGCCTTGGAATGTTAGAAAGTTTGGCTAGATAGACAAGTTTGACAAGCAAAATCAGATTTTTAATGGTTAATAGTTCAGAAACTTTTGAAATGTTTAAAAAAATATGCAGGAATATCCTCTACACAGCAGTTAAGATTGTCTTAACAAAATGTTCTTGCATCATTCATGTTTTCTTGGAAGTTCTATGAATTAAAACTACAATTTTTAAATTTTACAAATGCTTATTAAGTCCTACTGGTGGCAAGATGAATTCGCCTTTCAGTGGTGATAAGAAATGATAAGAAAGTAGATTTCTGGATATTCCAAGTGAACCGAGAAAACGACCTCACAGAGGTTCTGGGGTCAAAGAAAATGATGATTTTTTTTCTAAAATGTAACTTCACCACTTGACAATGTCACGTTCTTGTTATGGTTCTAATTCTAATGAATCTAGATGGTTATGCATTTACCGCATTTACCCCCCAGTTAAGTGTATGAAATGCTACATGGATGTTGTGAACCCAAGCTACGTTTGGTTACTGATATATAAATTTTGGAGAACTGGAAAAATTATTCCTGAAATGTTATTTCCTAGGCGTTTTTAGATGTATGCTAAAGTAAAGCATGAGAGGAAACAGGATTTGCAGCAGTTAACCTTCAGGTATTGGGCCCATCTACAGCATAGAACAGCGAGTAGCAGATTGAGTTCCAAGTAAACACAAGGTCACCACAGATCTTAATTTCATTCTCCCACTGCTCCCCTTGGAATCTGAGTCCAGAAGTGACAAAAGGTTTGCATACTTAGCGACTGGTTTTGAGGGATTAAATACTGTAAGGAACATGGCATAAGGGTTAATGGTCTCTTTAGAAACACTGGAAAATTATTTATATTGCAGACTTTTTCCGGGGGCAGGAAGCATTCTGGCAAAAAACTCAGCTTCGTTTTGCCTGGGGCGGAGATAAAATGCAAAAGGAGGAGCTTGGCCCGGGTTGGAATTTACGGGAAGAAGCCGGGAGGCCTGGGGCAAGGGGTCGGAGGTGGGGGCGCAGAGACCTCTGTCCAGTCCGCACTGCACCCTCCTCTCCGGGCACCTAGTGCCCAGTGCAGCTTTGCCTGCCCTCCGGCCCCTCTTTTTACCGCTCGCGTTGTAACCTCTGGAGACAGTAAGTCCGCACGCGACTCGCATGTCTGCTCCGGAGATGAGGGTCCCAGGGCTGCGCCCACTTTACCAACCTACCCAATTCCATCTTCATACCCCATCACCTCTCTTTCAACCTACCTTGCCCGAGCGACCCACCCAGCGACAACCACGGACTCCCGAGCCCGCCCGCAGAATTGAGAAGGGGCGGTGCCCTGGAAGCGCGCTCCCGAACTGCTGGGCCAGCCCCAGGGCGCGCTCACCGCCCAAGGAGCGTGCTCGCGCAGCCGCTGGTTCCGATCCTGTCTCCCTTTACGGCAAACGCGAAAGTGTCGTGAGCGTGCTGTCGCCGATCGGAGTCATCTAGTCGGCCGGAGACTGAGCTGCTTATTTCTATGGGTGTGCGTTTTGGGTTCCGGGTAAGGTGCTATACTTCGTCTTGGGAAAACTACAAGGTTGTGAAGGATGTTATGGAGAGTACAACTCCCAGAAAGGGTGGACAGTTGGCTAGATGCTCTAGGGGACGGGGGGCTTACTACTGGTAGGTAGATAGCCGTTCGCTCGCGCGGAATGAACACCGTCTTTCCTCGCACAGGGTGGCTTCGCACGCGGGTTGTGGAAGGTGGGTTGGCTACCCTTCTGGCCTCCTGTGGGGGGATTGATGTGGCGAAGCATCTTTGCAGAAGCCCAGAGGATGTTGTGTGGGCACTTGGGGTCGACACAGTCTCCAGTCTCTGCGGGCGTAGCAGGGCCGGATGGGGCGGGGGCTGGGGGGGCTGCCCTCCCCAAACCGACCTTGCCTGTCAGGTCCACACCCTCCTGTCCCGGTGCTGCCAATCCCACAAACCGTGTTGCATCCTGTGCCGCGTTGCCTTCGCTTTAGAGTGTGGTCCTGGCATTTCGTGCCTGGGCCAACCCTTTTGGTCAGCAACTTTTCTAGAAATTGCAGTTTATACCGACAAGCTTGGAAAATGTCTGCTGGGATTTATTTCAACAGTGTTCTTGGAAGGAGAAAGGACAGGAGGTCTGCCACTGTTTAGATGAGTGGAATTTTTTTTTTCCACCTAGCAAACGTGTAACTAGCTTTCTGCAACTCAGTACAAGGTATTTTTGCGTTACTTTACCATTTTGCATCATTGATATTGAATGTATAATTCTGACTGAAGGCTTACATTTACCAAAAATCCATATTCATGGTTTTCTTTCAAGTGTCTTGTCAGGTATGTGAACAAAAAGATTCACTTCGTACTGTCAGGCTAATAGAAATAGTTCAATGATTGTGTAATGAACTCATTAACTTACAACACAAGTTAGACTTTGGTAAGGATACTTAGAGCATTACTAATGTAGAGCCCTTGACGTTCAGGTAAAATTCCAGAGATTGAAGTTCTAAAAGTATATTGCTACAGATTTGTTCTGTGCTGAGAAAAAGAAGAAATAAAATCTTTAGTTATGTTTTGTCTTTACAACTCTTCTTCTGTTCATTCTTTCTACAGGAACTTCCTTTGTTGTCTGCTATTGCTGAGTGTTTTACAACCATGATAAATTCTTTGTCTCCCCTAATCTCTTCAGAAATGTCTATTATAAACATGATTGCATGTTTCAGATTACTCCAAAATTTTTATAACCCCTCTTACATTTTATTGCAGTCAATTTTTGTTGTTGTTGTGTTTTCCAGGAAGCATTATTGCATTTGACACATCATTGTCACAAGTGTTCAGGTCTTTCATACATAGGGTCCCTGTGAGTCCTCTATGACTCAATCGCACCTAACAACAACAATAGGAAGCATTTGGTTTGTCTTTCAAACCAGATAAAGGGTTCTGGTGATACTCTTTTTGAGGGTCATGTTATGTGTCTTTTAAGGGTACAGGGAAAGAATCTATGAAATAGCACACAGATCTCCCCACCCCCTTTGAGGAATTGTTTTCTTTTTAAAAGAAATAAAAGATTTCCTTCACAAAACAGTGAGTATAAGTTGTATTACACAGTACTATTTTTGCTTCCAAGTTGCTAAAAAGGCTTTTATTTTTGTAAACTTGATCTATTTATCACTTGTCAAATAATACTGAACTAATCCTGTGATCCTATTTGTTTTTTTCTTTAAACTTGGTTTAATTTTTTTTCTCTCTGCATTCCTAAGAGTATTAGCTATTAGTATTTTTCTTCATCGGTTCCACAAAGGTTGAGATCTGTAAACATATTGCCAAATCTGTTAAGCTTAAAATTTGGCATCCACAGACTTGAGGAGATTGGGAATTCTGGAATTTCACAGTACAACCTGGATATTGTGTAAACTTACGTTACACTCTGGTCAGCAGTAGTCGAGCCCTGGTGGAATAGTGTGGAAAGTATCAGACTGCTAACCAGAAGCTTGGCAGGTTGAATCGAGCAGCTGCTCTGTGGAAGAAAGAGGAGCAATCTCCCCCCATAAAGATTTGTTACTGTAAAAACCCAATGGAATAAAAAAAAAAAAAAGACAAAAACACCCCAATGGAATGTCAGTGTTAGAAGTGACTGGACTGCAGTGTAAGCTTTTGGTTTTATACTTGTCAAATATGTCCCAATACTAGAATCCACACAGGGATAATACAGGTAGCATGCTATTATCCTCAATTGCAATAAGAATAGGTGTGTTTTAAGGTCCATAAATTGTGCATAATTTTAGTAAAGAAATTTGTTAAATATCTTTGATTTTATTTTTGGACCTTCATTGGACTTTTACATAAATATTTATGCCTACATTAATAAAAGTATTTTTCAGACC